GACTACTCGTTCACTTGTTGCACCACTTCGCCGCCTCTCCGGAGGCCCCCGTCGCATACCCTGATTTCTCTTGCCCTGTGTGCCTTGACGGCGTCCACTGGCCTAGTGTAGGGTTAGGGGTTGTGATAGGGTTTGCGGTTTGGCCAGGTTTGGAGCTGCTGCTCTTTCTTCGTGCCTTCCTGCTTCAGCTTGCTGCCTCCCGCCTTCAAGGCCGATCTCCCTTTTCTTACCGCCTCATTTCATGAGCCTTGCTGGCCGCCTCTCTGCCCTTGAACGAGAAGTGGCCGAACTTCGTCGAGTCGTTGAGCGGCTCTCCCTGCTTCTGGAAGAGTCTGAGGCCTCTCAGTACTCTGTTGTGCAAAGCCAGTCTCCAGGTGCCTCCGCCCAGGTTCCTAGGTCTTTCAACTTTGGGTCGCCGGCCCGCTCTGCTGCCTCAACCCCTGCCACGCCTGCTTCTGCTGGACAGGCTCCTCTCTCCCCTCGCAGCCGGGGTGCTGCTTGCCGAGAGATCGGGTTGTTCCTGCGCAGGTGCTTGAGTGGGGAGCACCGGGGTCCTTCAGGGAGGGATCGGCTTCCTTCAGGGTCCAGGTTTTGGATCGTGGCTCGCTCTTTTCGAGGCGAGGATTTCAACCCTGTGCGAGTCTACTCGCGCTTTGCTGACTGCAAGGCCCTTGTCAAAGTCGGCAGCGACCTCGGGGATAGTGTCTGTGTAGGCTTGCCGTCGCGCGGCGACGTGATAGCCGTTGCTGCGGCTGCTGGTCTGGCCTTGCCCGGCCAGTGGTGAGATGGCTTTTGTGCCTGACGAGGAGACGGTGGACGGAGATCCTCTGACTGCTAGGGACGCCCTTGCTGCCGGTGACGGTTTCGAAGACGCGTTGTGCCCTCTGGCCGTGCTCCGATGCGGTGTCGACGATGCAGGCCAGGAGGTCTTAGTCCAGGGCCTTCTTCTCAAGGAGGTCGAGGGCAGGCTGGTGCTGGCAATCCCGGCCAGCGCATGGCACAAGAAGGTGAACAGGCGCACTTTGCCAAAGGGTTTTATGACGAAGGTCGGCGCAGCGGAGGTGTTGGCCTGTGCTGCTTCTTCCCGGAGCGTTCCCGAGGACGATGCTGTGTTGAGAGTTTGGTTTGGGCTGGTCGAGCCGTCCTACGAAGCCGCCATCGAGTTCTCCGACGAGGCTCCTTCAGTTGCCTTCGGTGCTCTTGAGAACGGCGAGGCTGCCCTCCCTTTCGTGCCGGCTCTGGTCGCAGCCGTCTCCGACCACTACACCTTTGCCTCCGCCGAGAGCGGCCAGCCGGCGGTCCACAAAGATGCTCTCAGCGCCAGGCTCGACCGACTCGAGCGGCTCTTGGGCGCTGCAATCCCCTCAGGCTCCCAGGCAGGTCGCGCAGGTGCAAAGGCAAAGGCAAAGGTCTCAGCGAAGGCTGCCGCGCGGGCTGCCGTGCCTGCCCCCTCAGTCGACCCGGCCGTGCTTCTGGCTGCCCGTGCTGCTGGTGTGCCCGATGGCACTCTGTCACAGTTCCAAAGGCTGTTGGGGTCCTCCGCTGTGGGGCGAATGCAGCCCGAACCCTTTGCGACGGCTC